TTTTTTTGTGCTTCGTCCATGTTTAGACAACAGACAATGAGAATACTATGCCATAATTGCATCAATATCCAGGTGAGGAATACAGGCCAATAGGCCTTTTGCTGAGTGTAGGTATATTATTTAGGTACGAGTTTTTTTTTAATTTCTTAGAAAATATATTGCTTTATTTGTCATTCAATAATTATATGAACTAAAAGGGTAATCAATTGTGCCACTTCAGATTTGAGACAAAGATTGACTGTCCTTGATGTGATGATGTAAAACAATATACATAATGTATAATATTTTGATTTCAGCTCATCCTTCTTCTCCCCCTTTGGATAGTGTTGTCATACCAGATGCTACAGAAGCCATTGATCTAACTATCTCTGTACCCGGGATACGGCCTGATGCTTCAGCGTCTTTCAATCTCACTTCTTCTACTGGGACCCTTAGACCTGATGTAAGTTACTATAAACTAGTTATGTCTTTTTGTCACCTGTGTTGAAGGCGCATGTGACCTGCTACCACCATCGGTCATCGTATATCTTTGTCCGCAATCGTTTATCATTTTGGCATTTTTGACATCTTAAAAAAACAAAACCCACGTCATGATATAAGACTAGATTTAACTTGATGCACGGGTTTCAAGGAAACCACGCTTCTGTGAGGACATTTATATCCACTGTAGTTAACATAAAAAATGCATTTAACTACACTATACAGTTGTTTTGTCTTTCTAGGACAAATTAGTGTTGCTACGGGCCAAACAGATGGACTTTCAAAGAGGTCTTAACAACTGTTCAGACGAAGGGTAGATGAGTCAAGCCTCTTAATTACATGAATATTAGTTAATTAAGAAATTATCACGGTATGTGTGTGTATTATGGTGGTATATATAATTTGGATGAGAAAATGTAGGACAGACAAATTAACGAAAGCCGCCTGTTTGTTTTCGCCAACATTTTCGAATCCCGAGTTATATATTCGACCATATTATACAAATATATGTTGATTATAATACATTTCTATTTTCCCAAGTAAAATGTAACGAAAGTGGTAGAATTTCAAATGTGATAATAAGGAAAGCCTTTTCATTTATATTATGAACCGTGCCACTACACCAATGAGGTAATGGTTGCTATCAAGGATGTAATTTATTTATTTTCTGTGCCAAAATTGAACATATCAAGCCTAAACTTTACAACTACTACTACTACTACTACTCCCTCCATGAATGGTATACTATTTGGGCTAGATATAATTGATGCATTTAAATGTGTGCCATATGCTTCATAATACAAAATGTATTATTTAAACTTTAGGGTACTGGTAATGCTGTGGTAACAGTGACAGATGATGGAAATGGACGGACATCCTCTAGTTCTTTGAAGATAGATGTACTTGCTGGCACAACCTCTACTGGGGATATCTTCACTATACAACTGATAGTTGGGACTTATTCTGAAACAAAGCAGTGGACAATTTCTGCCACAATTTACTAGTTCGTTTAATGTGATCAACAATGTTCAAAATATCGATATACTAGAAATTTAAACTGTGTGATTTACTTAACTGGAAACGGCAACTCGTCTTTTTAGAATAATCTAATAAAAATACACAATAAATCTCATGTTTGTGTCTCTTATATATATTATTGTTACTGTCGTTATAAAGCAAAGCAGAAACCAACGTCATTTTACAAACCGTGATCCAACCTCGAGTGTTTTTTCCATTGTGACTGGGTTATAGTGATAATGAAATACTTTCCCCTGTTAGATATTTAGGTTTAATTTACAATTGCCTTGACTCCCCTCATATAAAACATAAGAACAGCATCTGTGTTTACATGCCAATAAAATGAGCCAAGAACGTGACGTAACAATTGGCGTAGGAATACACGTACACAAGTCAAAGGTCGCCAAGGCCCATTCATTTTTACAAACAAAAACCCACGTGTTGGTATCATCGGGACATCTAAAAAATGTTGATAAAGTTTGTAAAAATTCTAGACTCTAAAGATGATAATTATTAAAAACAAAATTCTAAATAAGAAATGAATAAAATATAACGAGAAATCTGTGTATTGAGGGTCGTCTGCTAAACTTGGACCCCTGCCAGTTTTACATGTCGGTAACGAATTGACCGAATGATGGCTGGTGCATTTGGTAATTTCATACTATCTCTATCAGGAGAAAATAATGTTGTAAAGGACTTGTTAGACTTTGATTTTGGAGACAACTTTGGCACCTTTTTATCAATACTCCAAGCCTCGGACATGGTGCCAGTTGTAGGTTCGGAGGTTATGAATATTGCAGCTATTGGTGGACTCCCCCAACCGGAGACTCCATCCTCCCCCAAACCCATTGCAACAAATCACACGGAAACAGGTTCACCACCATCCAAAACAAGGTTTAAGATAGTTTCAGCAGATGATATGAGGAGATTTGAAGACATGTATTAGTCAGATGCGACAAAGAGAAGCACACAATGGGGCATAAAGATTATAAAAGGTAAATAATAGACAGACATGAATTATAAACTAACCGGTAAATATGAATACAACTCTTGTAAATGACGTGGTGCTATCATACAGTAGATCTGCTGCTGGTCACGTTGAGTAACTCAACACAACACTGCCATTGATGTGCAGATAAATTAAAACAAAATATTTGTCAAGTCATTGCCATTATTGATTGCGTAATGAATTATCAGTTTGTAACCGTTGGTTGCATTTGAATTGTAAATTGGCACAAGGAAGCATATTGCTCAGAGATCAGCATGTTGACCATCACAGCTGACGAGTTGGCCCACAAACTCACTAAGTTTTATTGTGAAGCAAAGCCAAAAGAGAAACCATCTGATAGTGATACCAAGCCTTCTGCTGACAGTGACGAATATCATAAAAACAGTTTATAAAATATCCGGGCAGCAATAAAAAGACACCTCGCAGATATAGGTCGAAATATTAACATTGCCAATGATCGGGATTTTAAATCGTGCAACAGAACCTTAAAAGGACTTCTGAAAGACTGTTTGACGCGTGGGGCTTCGCGGCCAACACAGCACAAAGAAATTATAACTCCGAACGATTTCGAGAAAATAAATACCTTGAAACTGCAAACGAATCTCCAATCGTAGAGCTCCATTTCCAATTAAACATAGATTCATCCGCTTCAAACATGACGAAAAACGGCGTTTAATGTGCATGTCCAATAACGAGCCAATGGCCGATTAACATATGTACTCTACTGTCACATCGTTGTTTCAGACTTTTAAAAGAATTTAACAATAAAACTGATGACAAAGCTACAAGGCTGTTTCACACGTGCGTGAAGGAAGCCTTGAATTCGCCGGTGACCCAAAAACGTGGTATAATAATAAAGCCCTGGGTAAATCTATCTTCCCCCCAGACATCTGTAAACAGGCAGGCTGTTCAAAACGCTATACCGACCACTGATTACAAGCATCGTGTATCCAACGCATGTCTGATGCGGGCTTCGAAACAAGAAACATTTTGTTCATGTCGGGTCACAAGACTGTTGCAAGCGTGCGTAGCTACAGTCGAGATTGCTCCACTGCCCAGAAACGGTCGGTCAGTGCTATACTGACATCCATGAGCTCGGGCCACGACACCTGTGTCTCGGCAATTGACACACATCCTATGTCTGTTGTCCAAAATAATTCGACAATAACCCATCCAAATTTACCATTCATTTCTCTCCTCAAATGTGCATTCGACGTCAGGGATGCTTACAAACTCGAGTTTTGCAAATTGCACGTTTAACATTAAAATGTAGGCTCGGTTCATTTCCCATGTTTACAGTAGAGCACCTCAGGAACAACTGTTTAATTGGGGCGCACCCAAATTTAATCGTGTTTCATACGAGTGCAATCGCTACCTAAAATGTGTTTCGTTCAAACACAGTGCTACTGATTATGTCATTTTTGACAGATCTTTAATAAATAAAATCTACAGATTTTTGAACTTTGGAAAATAGTAAACCTTAGTTGATTTCAATATGTGATGGCGGATTTATATTTTGTCAAAAGGTCAAGGGATGACATGTAGCGCTCTGATATGCCATTTAACAGGCCTTTTTTAATCAATGAATCTAGAAAGATGTCGCTATTCTTAAACTTCAAATATAAACGCTATTAGCTCAAAATCCAGGTAATAACATAAAGTTGATGATTTAGTTGTGCGAGTCATAAAAGACCAGATTCGCAAAATGACCCTTCTGAGTGTACTAATCCTGGAATCAGATAATGTTCGGATGAGACAAATAAACGCACTGATCAATATCACTTCACTGATAAATCATCATACCAGGCACTGATTGGTCTATTTTAGCATCAACTTCGATTTCACCGGAAAAGATTCCAAACAGTCTACTGTTAGTTCTGCAATCGATATTAAAATGGGAGGCGTTTTTTGTTCAAAATATCCCATTTATAAATTATTTTAACATTGTGAAATAATAACAAGCTTTGTCAAAATAAGATGAAGAGTTTCTTTATCATTCCAGCATACATGTTCGTCTACCACATTGTCAAAACATGAATTGATTTTCGTTTGGTTTGTTAATGCATTACGTCCTATTAACAGCTATGGTCATTTAAGGATGTGCCAGGTTTTGGTGGTGGAGGAATGGCGGAGTTCCTGGAGAAAAACCACCGACCTACGGCCAGTACCTGGTGACTGTCCCACGTAGTCCTCGAAACGGCGACCTAGTGGTGGATGGCTAGTGGTATCAGAATGTCTGACGCCTTAACCACTTGGTATTAGTTGCTACAATAGTTTGGTATTAAAATCAGTACCTGTTAACAACCTATTGATCAATCAGGACAATGCAATTTAAAAGCAAACATTCGACTATCACTCAGATACCAATCCTTTGTTATGATCACAGAGGGAAGTCTGTTAACATCGACTAATTGATTTATTGTGACAAGCACGTCAACATAAGAGCATATTAACTAAAATATATCTGGGCAGGTTAGGCTTAATGCTGTTCAAAATATAATAGTGCCCTCGTAGAAGCAAGTCAAGCATGTTTTTGTTTAAACTCTGTTTTCTGATATTAGCGAAAGGTAAGTGATTTATTTTTTCATTGTACGTTTGCAAGTGTTTTAGGTAAAACAATATATAAATGTTTAAGTTTATTTAAACGATATTCGTCTGCGTTCAAATCATCAGCGTGCATTTTTGATTACATAAAAACAATATAATATTTGCAAAGAAATACATTTTATGCATAAAATGCTATTGAATGACCGTTTGGCACCAACATATGCTGGACGCTCCGGATGCGTAAAAAAGTAAAATAGACCTTCTATATGTCACAACTAATTTATCTATTTATCTACCTATCAATCTATTTGTTTGTCTGTTTGTTTGTTTGTTTGTTTGTTTGATGTTCAGTCTTTTGGTACATTTAAAACATGTTAATCTACCTGCTGCCCAATTACAATTGATATGAACTTTATTCTTTTCGTTTCTCTGTTTCGGCTTCAAATTTTAAAATGTAAGTCTTAAATGCATCAAACTGACAGCATCCCTACTGAAAATGTTTCTTGAAAGATATCCAGCATAGACTTTTCTAAGGGAAAGAAGTATGTCCCTCTTCTCGCAGAATGTTTTATATATTTTTTGTTTTCATGTGAGGTTTTATTTATTGAAAGGCTTATTAAGGCTCGGTATACAAACTCTTGCCAGTTCTTTCAATTTCACTTTCAGATATATCCAAAGTACTATCTTATAACGAAAATATATTTCTTGACCATTCATGATCGTGTCTACCTTCTTAAGCTTAAGTTTTTTAGGAATGAGAATGTTATTTTTCTGAAATGCCATTCCTTTTTCTCACCCTTCACATGTGTGTCTCCTTGTCCCTGCCTAGGTTGAGATAGCCTCGTGTTGATTAACAAATGTTCAATTGTGTGCTGTGTGCTATCGTACTTAAGCTACATGTATATTCAAAACGAAAGTAATGGGATGTTATTTTATATACGAACAACTACAGTGGATTTCTTGCGTGTTTTATCTTCAGTTGTATAGGAATCCTTGATGATATGGATGAAATTAAAATATACTTACTTCACATTATATAAAACATTTTATATTTATTTTGTTTTTGTTTTTAAAAACTGCTATGCAAGTCTTTATTGTATTGTATTTCGGGAATATTTTCCTATTTTGGTCACGTTACTATCTGATAATCAAGTTGAGCAGGTGTAAATTGATGACATAGATCGTTTTCAATTATGTTTCGTTGTGGAAATGTTGCATAACTCCGCCCACGTGTTTTGATGATATTTTATCAATCACTGTAAGTAATATATAACAATATTTAAGCATACAGACAATTAGACAAACGCATAGAATATTCTTAAAGTTCAACACTTTTATTTCCAATTTCAAATCTGACGAAAATGAAATTAATTACTGTAATATTGGCTCCGATAAAAGGTTCTGAACATTTTTCCTTAGAAGAAGAGGGCAAACTGAATGAATTTTGTGTCAGGATATAAATAGCAAGCACATTTTTGTTCTTTGCACGCTCATAAGACATGACTTACCAACACAGGACTACATGTTATATTTTCTTGTACTATTAAATCATAAACAAATGAATATGTCTAAATTTAATCTCGATTTCATTTTCACAAAACCATTATCTATAAGAGATTTTTGTCGTTATATATTGTATAGCACTACTGTTACTATCCTTGGCGAATGGTACTCTTGTCCTGGATGAGAACTCTGCAATGGAAAATTGGTTTCCGCATAGCTACGTGACGTCAGTGGGCGTGGTGAGATCAAAGTCTGAGTGTGGACTTCATTGCTCGGCTGTTGGTTGGTGCATGTCCATCATATACGACACAGCCAATAACACCTGTTATCTTAACGACGTATTGTTCACAGACGTATCCAATGGTTACTGGAGGCAGAATACGACTCACTTCCAAGGTAAATAACAGTTTTATCTATACTTGTATTGCATCAAGAAATATCCACTCCCGAAAGGCACCGTTGGCTGAGTGGATAAGGCGTCTACCATTCTGCTACTACTTACCTGCCACCAATGGGTCGTGGGTTCGAAACCTACATTGTGCAGTCACCAGGTGCTGACCGCAGGTCGGTCGTGTTTCTCCAGGTACTTCAGCTTTCCTCCACCACCAAACCTTGGCACGTCTTCAAAGTCTATACATGTAAATAGGACGTAAAAAACATACAACCAAAACATTATTCCAGAAAACTCAGGTAATAAGCTCACTTACGTTTTCTGTTGAAATATTTCATTACAAAATCGAAGGCTCAGTGTTCGATAGCATAAGAATGACCCTAGTAGACTTGTTTGATCATTAAAATTTATCAAAAGAATCATAACGGTAACATTGACCGACTTTTAAATTGTATGTCGCTTCTCTGTTGCCTTTAAAAGACATATCCCCACAGCAATTGGTAACTATTTAACCCTTTGAAACACTCACATTACTAACATCATATCACTTATTTCGTCTTGACATTTCGGCAGGGGTGAACAGAGTGCAAGAAAGTGTGACCCCTGAAATGTATTTCAAATATACCAAATTGACTATTCCGCTTACTTGTTTTAACAAAGGTAAACTTTTTTTTTCTAGTATTATTTTTACTTGGTTTAAATCTACATTCAATTTTTCATATATCTTATAGAAAAAATGATGTTATGAAACATGTATGCTTATTTCAAAAAATACCTTTATGCGAAATATATTCATTTAGAATAAAGACATAACCACCAAAACCGTTTGTTTCCTTTAAAAAAATATATTGACATGTAAATCTGAGCAAGGGATTAAGAGCAAAATACCTAATATATACACAATCGAATACATTTGACCCGACCGTGACATCACTTTTGTAACTGTTAATCGGCTTGCGTACATAATCTGGGTTGCCTAGACAAAACAAATCTTAAAAATACCAAAGTCGACAACCCCAGGACAAAATATGAATAATAAAAATATTTGCATGGAGACTCTTCAAAAATGTACAAGAAGAATAAGACCAGGTGTATCGGAAGTGTAAGCGTCTTCTTTTTGATTGCCTTTATTCTCATATACATCTAGGTTAAATCTTAGTATTGTCACGTCGTCGTAGCGAGAAGTGGGGTAGTGACAAAACAACACGCCATACTAAATATAAAACAATAACGTTTAAATGAAACGTCCGTACTCCAATCTATCAGCACTATATTAGAACATTGGTAATCATAGGAATTATGCTTTATCACTGTAGATTCGAAACAAATATAATTTTGTCCATTTTTACCAATGAAAAGGATCCTTTTCTAATATGCCTAGTTTATGTATGTATTGTACTACTCATGATTGTATTTTATCTTTTTCACCAGTGAAGAGTACTGTAACTATACCTGAGGGTTATGACTGCAATGCTTTCACTGGAAGTTGCGTAAATATTTCATCTTCTCCTCACACTTGGAATGATGCGTTCGACGTATGTGCGGCAAAAGGTGAACGATTTCTTCTGATTGATAGCGCTAACAAGCAGTTGGAGGCCGAGCAATTCATGCAGGATCAAGGTAAGTTTACCGGTTACATCTGTATGTTACAATAAACCATTCCTCCTAATAGCCGTTCCCTTAAGGATGTACTCTTTTGAGATTTAAATCAAGTTAAGTTTAGTTTCGTCTCGTGTAACCGGCTTTTGTATTATTTATCAAATAATGATACATTTTAAAAAACAAACGCGTTTCTGAAAAATATGTTCAAAAACTAAACGCCTGTTGTTTGTAGGACGTTTTAAAATAGATTTACAAAAAATGACCAATTTGACACCAATTTAAAAAAATAGCATTTCTTCCGCTTTACGAAACGCCAAAATGTCACCTTTTGTAACGAAAAAGAGTTTTGAGTTGCTTTCTAAGATTGGTCGCAACGTACAAAATATATACGAATTGTGGATTTTTTTCAATGTCTACGCCTTGAGAACATAGCAAATATATAGCTTTTCTGCTTTTTCCCCTTTATCTGATATTATACTGTCACAACTGTAGTGAGACTTAGCAAACAAATATCGACATATCCAATAAAATTCGAACTGCAAGATATTGTATTTAACAGATTGCTTAAGGATCCTTTGAATACCTTTCGTGAACCGTCTCTATGGATATTGTTTTGAAAGTGTGGCGCATATACAAAGCAATCTATTAAAGGCACTTAAAGACAAAGTCAATGAAACAGATTATCGACCTGCCATCGTATAACAGGCGGATATACAGTGTATAATATTTAAACAAGCTTCACGAACGTTAGTGTCTTTTATTCATTTGATATGGAGGTTAATTATTTTTATCAACTCAACTTTTGATTAAACCTTAAACAAATTTGATCTGACAATGGGTAATATGATTTATAGATTATCACACTGTATTTCCAGTGTTTGTCGTGAGAACAATTTTCTCATCTCGAGCATCTGGATAAAACCGAGAGGCCACCGCAGGTGATCTCGAGATATTAAATACGTGCGAGCAAACTATTTATCAACTATATACTACTACCTTATATATTTCTCCATTTAAAAACCTCAACTAAACACCATGTTGTCCAAATGACTTCTAAGCTCAATTGTCAACGATCGCCTGTGACAAACGTAAACAAATAGACGTTTTGCGCGGAGGAATACATTGCCAATAGTCTCGTGTTGGCGCTGTTTAAGAAATCTTCTCCCGGGGTGATTGTGTGGTTGTTTACCCCGAGACTTTGCCGATGGTTACAAAACCAAATCATAGACCCGCGGATAGGAGATTTCTCCGTTACCTTTCAAGGTAGATATGAAGATTTTCTTCCATCATTCAAATACATTGTATCTTGTTTGAAAACAATTTATATCAGCATTTGTAATTTCCTGTCAAGCATGATTTGCTCAAACTTTGTCCGACTGATCGTTCCTGGGACGATTTTAGTGGTCTTTTTACAGCCAAGGGTCATTTATGTGGGTATTGTATACGTTCACGCTGGAGACGGTATGGTTGAATATATACCTCCTTGCTTAAGAGCAGGTATTACGCGAATATAAAGTGTTATCTCATTGAGTAACAGTAACAGTACGAGAAACCTGTCAACTACCCATAGATATATAAATAAAGTAATCGATTAATATACAAACTTAAAATTCTATTAAATTGTAATGTCAAATTCCACAAATCTTTCTGAATTTTAAATCCCTTTTTTTGTTTGTTCCTATTTTGTTTTTGTTTTTGTTGTTTGTATTTATATATATATATGTTGTTGTTGGGGTTTTTTTCTGGGGGGGGGGGGGGGGGGGAGGGGGTACTTTTTAGTTTTAATGTCAACTGAAACTGATTCATTGTTTATGCACGCTGTACATATGTCATACAGATACATTTTTGAATTTTCTTTTCAGGTCTCAGCTATTTATGGATTGGGTTGACTGACCAAGAAACCGAAGGAGTATGGCTAGACGGAGAAGGAAATATTATGGAGTACAGCAACTTTCATAACGGACAGCCAGACAATGGAGGTAATAACCAACACTGCGCTCTGATGAGAGCCGACTATGGATATAAGTGGGATGATGTAAACTGTGGTAATAACTGGTATGTCGTCTGCGAGATGATCTAACCTATGTAGAATTATAAGAACGTTCGTGATTGGTTAATCCATTACGTCATAGTGGTAGCGCAATGAATGCTTCTTTTCATATCATCAAATTATCGTCAGTTTTAGACTTAAATCTCCAAATGAGCCGCGGTTTACGGACCCCCTTACCACTATCAGAAACTATAACGTTGCATTTCAAACTGTTTTGGCATTACTATAACTTTAAAAAAAAATGTTTCTGAAAAGAATGCAATATGTTGCAGGAACTTTTATCAACACATAACACACAAATAGTATCAACAAAAATGTTGAGCGTGCAAATTCAGGTGAGCTGGACCAGAAGTTGATGCCTAGACCTCAGATTGTTATAGAAAGCGTTCATTTAAGCGATTGTACGCAATAATTCATGGTATTGTCTTGGTTTGTGATAGATACTATACAATGTCTTCTAAATTATCTGATGAACAAGTCGGCTGTTTTTTCAGCAAAAAAAGCATTTCATTGATAAATGTTTACTACTGTATAGAATACTCTACCTTAGGGCGGATTCTATTAAAGTTAATATTACTGCTTCAAATTCTAAGCTATAATTATGAAAATCGCTATATTCAAGCTGATTTTATCGCAAGCAATATAATATTTGTTATTATAGGAATCACCTTCAAGGTGTTGTCATTTAAGTCACATAAGAATAATTAAAAAATGAGGAAAAACACAAAAATTCAATTTAAAACAAGATAAAATATTTCCTCAACAAATACTGAAATCAAATTAGTTAAGGATCCCAGTACCAATGTTCAAAATTGAACTACCATTAAAAAAATATGTCAACCTGCATGTAAATATTCTTTATAGGTAAATCATTTCCGTACCTTGCGAGACTACTCAAGAAATAAAGACGAATAACGCAAAAGAATAAAACATTGTTCTGAGAGTAAATTTACAGCAGGTCTTGTTGAGTATCCAACCCTGGACCTCTAATCACTGTTCAATCGCCCTAACAAACTGATATGCCTGAACAGCGGTATTTCCGTTGCCCAGGCCACTTGTTATAATCGAACTAAATTTACCGAAAGGTACAGAATGTATGAAAAACTAGTGGAAATATCTAGTGTTTTTTTCCTATAGCAAGACATTCATGCTTAGGAGAATTTAAAAATGTCCTGGAAACAGGTCGTGCGTCTGTATGCACTATCGATATATCACATTAACTTTTAATTTTAAAATTTGAAGTGCACATGTTAATGGTATATATTGAATAACAATATCCAAAGACTTTATTTTACTTTGAAATATGATTCATTCATTGACTATTCAAAGTAGGAAATTCACGAATTAGAACAATGTTTACCGACAATTATGGAACTGTTAACTTGAGGCCGTAACACGGTATTTCTGCCTCTATTACAATAGCCCTATATGAAAACATCAATACTAGATTATAGCACTTCCTGCCAGTTTGATTGACCGAACAACCTCTGCATCGGTAATGACGCTGTGACAGAGTTTAGCTTAGTGATCATCAATTCGTTGAAAAAGTGATACTTCAAGGGTGTTAAATTCCATTGAAAAAATCTATTTAAACTCATAGGAAGATCGTCATGCATACATGTAGATAGTTATTTACTTATGTAAGTATACAAACCATCGTCAGGTCATTACGTAACAATTAATGTTAAGCGGTTAGGTAGTTATAACCCAGGCAATAATTGTATTGATTCTGCAGTTGAAACTATGATGTAGTCAAGACATTATGGTTAAATGACCCTATCTTAAATAAACAAAACATGCAATATGCGCGTAGTCTTCTTAAATAAGAAAACAATGTCATGACAGAGGAATACACACGGCGTCATGTGAGTTTGTTGTGTTTGACGAGGACGGATGAGTGTGGATAACGTTAACCTCGAAAACGGACAATGGAGAGAACAGTTAACGCTGCGCGCTAATGAGAACCGCCTTTGGATATAAGAGGGACGATGTAAAATGTGGTAATACTATGGCAGTGATCTTCGAGATGGTGTAAGCTGTTATATTATTCCACATCCTTATAAGAACGTTCGTGCTTGGATAATTCAATTTCGTCATTTTATGAATAGTAAAATAAATCAGCTGGAGGTTCTGTTCTAATTTCATTTCCTTTAAATTGAAAATCAAAAACGCCATGGTAAAGGACGAGAAATATTGGATTACACTATCCGTAAACTTTCTGTTTTTAATTCAGACATATGATCAATAAATTCATTGAAGATTCCAATTAGAACAAATCAATAAAGCCAGTGAAAACAAATAAGGCAGTGTTTACCAATACTTTTTGGATTGTTTGCTTGAAGTCGTGGCGGCACGATTTTTTCTGTGTCCGGTAAAGTATTTCTTTATGAAAATATCCATAATATCTATTAACCCTTTCTGTAAAGTTAACTGGTCGAGTTGCCTTCCGTTTGGTGACAATGCCGTGAAAGAATAAAAGTCAATGAGTCGAAACAAAAGTCTATGTAAAAATAATATCAAATTTTACTGATAATAATCTCTAAATTCAACATTATATAAACACTTGTGATTGGTGTATTGTCATGCATCGACAATGCCAGGAACTCAATTATCTTTGATGTATGAACTTGTTTGAGCACGCGTTACAGCAAAAAGTAAATATGTATTAAGTGACGTTAAGTGGCTTTGTAGTGATGACCTGTGTAAGCGTTGTTATTATTTGACCTAGGAAGTCATTATCTAACCTTTGCTTTATGGTTAAGGGATCCCTTTAGAAAAAAAACTATATGGAAATTATTATCACGTTGGTAATTTGTTTTGTTTTCATAATTTGCCAACATTATTTCAAATATTATTTGTTTATTGTATTAACACATTAAAACGAATTGATCGACAATATCTTTACTGTGTTCGTGTTGATTTTTGACAGTTTACAATGAAAGTCTAGCATCGAACCTGGACAATTCTTTGATACGGTCTACAACGTACTCTTAAGATTAAAATAAACTATCTAATGTATCCAAAAGGTGATGTCTGTATTGATGTCTCCTCGGTTTCTTTATATGTATCAGCAAAATCACTCGGATGTTTGGATAGTTGGTGATTTATGTATTACTTTTGTAATATTTTACCTAAATCTAGGTTAACAAAAACAACAACAAAAACAAAAACAGAATGTAGTTTGTATTTTATTTCCTTTTAATCAATTCATGAATCAAACGAAAATGACAACAACATTTTTATTGGTAAACATTTTTATCGTTTTCATAAAAGTGTTCATTACATACCTTACCGAGTTGATGTAAAATCATAAGTTAAATTTAACTTAAGATTTTCACAAAATGTCATACTGTTTCATTCTTCATGTTTTTTCGTATTGCATTACGTTATAATTTGAGTTTAACTATTTGTGGGAGGAGTAAAACTATATATGGGAGGGGTAAACCTATGTGTATGAGGAGTAAGCCTATGTGTATGAGGAGTAAACCTATGTGTGGGAAAAGTAACCCTATGTGTATGAGGAGTAAGCCTATGTGTATGAGAAGTAACCCTATGTGTATGAGAAGTAACCCTATGTGTATTAGAAGTAACCCCATGTGTATGAGAAGTAAGCCTATGTGTATGAGGAGAAAACCTATGTGTGGGAGAAGTAACCCTATGTGTATGAGGAGTAACCCTATGTGTATGAGGAGTAAGCCTATGCATTGTTGGAGTTAAACTATTGGTAGAAGGAGATAAAATATGTGCGGAATGAGTTTTACTTTGTGTTGAAGGAGTAAAACTATGTGTATGAGGATTAAAACTATGTATATGAGGAGTAAGCATATGTATTGTTGGAGTTAAACTATGTCTGGAAGAGTAAAACTATATGAGGGAGGGGCGAAACTATAGGTAGGAGGAGTTAAACTATGTGTGGCATGAGTTAAAACTATGTGTGGCACGATTTAAATTATATGCTGCATGCGTTAAACTATCTGTGGCATGAGTTAAACGATGTATGGGAGGAGTTAAATTGTGTGACATGAGTTGAACTATTTGTGGGAGATAGTTGAACTATGTGTGTGAGGAGTTAAACTGTACGTATATTGAAGGGGTACAAGTGTGTGAGAGAAGAGATACACTGTACCTATGTGTGACAAGAGTAAACATGTGTGTGGGAAGCGTTAACATGAATATGTTGGAGAAAGTAAATTTTTGTGCTGGAAAAATTCACCTTTGTGTTGGATAATTAAGCCTATGTATATGTGGAGTGTACATACATGCGTGTAAATCTAAGTGTGGGGGAGCTAACATATACATGTAGGAGGAGTTTTTGTGTGTACGGGAGGAGTTGAGCTATGCGTGGGAAGGGTAAGCCTATATGTGGGAGAAGATGATCTTCGTTTATTTAAATTTACAAACATATATTAACATGATTTTGTGGATAGTAATTAATGAATCATGCACGGAAACGTTGTTCTAGATAAAAAAAAAAAAAAAACCTCACAACGTTGGTGAGGGTATGAGGTGATGAACCAGGACTTTCAATATCATGGCATAACTTTTCCAATCAATTAAGTTATTCCATTATATTAGAAATTCATCATATTTTAAATGTAAACAAAATACGTACATCGGTATTACCAATGTCTGTCACTGTTGGATTATTCAAATTATTGATGAGTGACTTGACATCGTTAACACAAAAAATACACAATATTAAAAGCAGCATAGTATCCCTTTCATAAATGATGAATTAATTAGTCAAAATGATCGATACAATCTAACAAGGAATATAATTTGAGGACAATTCACAGGAATACTCTGAAGGGATAGCGTATGTTGCCCATTAACTGTATGTCATTGACATTACGTGTAAGATTCAAATAATCGCATGCTAAGCACGTTGGACAATTAATATTCTAGCAAATTCAGTAGTTATGGCAGATTTATATCTTAACTTATTCATCGACTGACTAGTTAATTGAGTATTAAGGTTTTTGGAACAGTATATATAACTTTGCTGGTCATAACTGAAAAGTGACATCATTCCATTAACATATTATGACCCGGAGAGTTTTTATTTATATTGTTTAAGGGTCAACGTGTTTGGACATTGACTAAATGCATATTAAGACGGGTGCATATGTAGACACACTTAATAATAAAGACTATTCAAGAGAAAAGAATAGAAAGAAGTCGCAAGTGTTGTAATACAATCGATTGATCTTTTTGATCTCCTCAATGTCTCTTAATTTAATAGAAGGAAAAAAGTAATAAACTTGATTCTACAGAAGGCCCGACATTAGCCGCCTCTTACAATAGCATGCAAAGGAATACAGCAAACCTATTATTTCCCCGGAACTGCAGGGGTTATCGCACGTGCAGCACGCTGGTCATTTAAAAGTC